CAATTCCATTTCCTAACTATTGTGAATAGAGTGGCAATGAATATAGATGTGCAAATATATCTGTAGAAAGATACAAAAGTCCTTTGGACATACATCCATGAGTGGTATAGTTGGGTCATATGGAAGTTCTAGTCCTAGTTTTAGCATGGGTCTTATGAATACTGTCACCATTGTTGCAAGTTCATATGAGTAAGTTCCCAGAGGCCTGAAAGCCATCCCTGGCACTTACAATCTCCCCTGCCTCTTCCACAATGGTCCTGAGCGATGGGTGGGTGAAGTTTAATATAGGAATTTTATCCAGAGATGTGTCACTTAGGGCTGGACATCTCTCAGATATATATTCTCTGTGTGTGACCAATTGTGCAATTCTGTAATAGCCCCTATCTGTTTCAAAAAAGAAGTTTATTAATGAGTGGGGTATGGTATACTTGTCTGTAAATATGAGGATCCATATTTAGCATACTAAGAAATTTCATTTGTCTGGAATACAGTTGTATTCTCCAACCATGTGTGTTTGGTTATATTTACAGTGCCACCATGAGTCCCTTCTTATATATCCTGATGTAACAGCAGGAGCCAGGAAAATGGAAGGATAGCAGGGAGGCAAAGAGAAAGAGCCCAAGAGCAGAGAATGATGGGGAACCAATGTTTCCAAGGGGGAAATGGGGTATTCAACGGGAAGGGAGGAAGAAAGGACATACGTGGAACCATGGTGGTAAAGGAGAAGAAGGAACTCAAGAAAGGAGGATAAAAGAAGACAGGTATTATCAAGGAGAAAGGGGGAGAAATGAGAGGACTTAAACTATGGGAGGAGGAGGGAGGTTAGACAAGGAGAGAGGGAGGAGAGATAAATAAAGCTTAGATGGTGTAAAAAGCCAGAGGGAACTCAATTAACTACAAAAAACCCTGAAAAATACACAAACAATATCTGAACATGAGTGCATATATATACCTGAAGGCTATATAACCAGGAACACAGTGCCAGACACAAGTAACCTCTATTTGAGTGAGTTGTTGGTTGGGGTAGTCCAAAAGACTCCCAAAATGACACAGGCTATTGCCACAACCCTTGATTACCTCCCAGAACTTGAAGGTAAGACCCTGCTTCTGAAGACAGGACACACTTCAGACACAAGTCTTAGAGCAATGGAGCTGGAACTGGCCTGGAATTATTTTCCCTAAAATGCACATTTCTTTTTTTTTTTTTTTTTTTTTTTTTTTTTTTTTTGGTCTTTTTGAGACAAGGTCTCCCTGTAGCCCCAGCTGTCCTGGAACTCACTATGTAGACCACACTGGCCTTGAACTCACAGAGATCTGCCTGCCTCTGCCTCCCCAGTGCTGAGATTAAAGACATGTGCCACCACACCCGGCAAATGCATATTTCTTAATAGAGAGACGGCCGGTGAGTGTTCAGGAATAGGTGGGACAGCAGAGCTGGCTCTGGTCATCCTCATTCTTGGCAGCATAGTCTGCCCCATCCATATATATATTGGTTTTTATTTGTAGTTAAACCATTTTGATGACACCTGACTGGCCAGCTCTTAAGGGAGCTCTTAACATAGACTGGTCTCTTGATCTTCTCCACACTCTTCCCTTTGAAACCCTCTGGTCCTCTCTAAGAATCCTCCCTCAATCCTTCTATTGACTTCCCCAAACCCCACCCCCAAGACCAGGCTCTTGGCACTAGTCTGGTAGAGGCTTGCCCAAGGAGCATTTTTGTAAACTGGATTTCTTGTGTGGGCATGTGACTTACTGTTTGTACCACAATTTTTGTAGTACCAAGCTTTGTTAAACATACAAAGTTCATTTTTAAAAAATAAAATGCATGTTTTTAAGTAAATGAACATTTGCTACCATACAGTAAGGTATAGAAACATACTATTAATATCATATATGTTATAAAACACTGACATCAATATTAATTTATCCTATCTAATTATACCATACTGTAAAATAAACCAACTTATCTTTGCTAAAGAATATGGAAATTAAAACTCAGAGAATTTAACAAATCACTGTCTCAAACCACTTAGTGTCAGGGCTTATTTAAATTTAGGTTACTTGGACTCCAAAACTTGTGTGCTTCTCTCTAGGCAGCCCAACATCCCCAGTGTGTGGTTTTCCTTTCTTGAACTTCATCCTTTTGCCATCTTTAAGGTCCCTAAAGACAATAGATTCAAACAAGGTCAGGTCCCCATGAGGAAGGGAAGGAAGAGGAGCTCAGAATACCTGGGGGAAAGTACAAGTTCCAGTCCTGCAACTGGTCCTAAGGACACAGCTAGGACTAACTCTCCTTAAGTCAGAACTGGAATAGAGAGCTCACTTGTCTGTCACAGACGGCAGTCCTGGCCTGGCTGTGCCTGCAGCCACTAGTTACTCAGCCAGGACAGGAAAGGCCATCCCTGCTTCCTCGAGTGGCTCTTCTGAAATAGAGCTGGAGCTCAGGTTAGTGAGAACACGTATGACACATGAAGATCAGACAGAACTGAGGGAGGAAGATGCCCTGTCTTACACAGGTAAGGCTCCTTTCCAAAGGCTAAGTCAACCATGCTCAGCTGGACAAGGTTTTAGCAGATTTTAGAAGGAAGCCTTATTCTTTTCCAGTGACCACACTGGGAGGATCTCTTTAGTTTCTTTCTTCTCTGGTCCTCCGATCTCTGCCACTGTCACAGAATAAATGATGTAAGGCCACGGAGGAAATGCCTCACTCAGGACTTTTCCAATTCCATCCTGTAAATTTCTCTGGGTTAGAAAAATTTCAGACTGTGAAACTTCCACAGGACCTATACCCTCCTTCGGGTATTGATTTTCCTCTAATCGATTTGGGGAAATCCCATCTTAGTGGATCATGAGGCAGAGGGTATCATAAAACACTGCTTTTAGGGAAATTCTGTGACTACAGGAGATTTTAGAAGAGTGGACTCCTATTCCTGGCAGTCAGAAAATCAGCAAACAAACGTTCCAGGGAGGTTGTGGGGTGAGGTCAACAAGGAGCTTGTTTCCACTGTGGGGCACCAGCCTCTGCAGTTTCCCTCTCCAGAGACAAGGCACCAGCTCTTCCAACAGCTTCCAGATGTTCTAAGAGCGACCAGATCTCCCATTCACCCCTGCTTCTCCCTCTCCCCAGTCATCTCCACCAGCACCACACACTAAACGTGCATTAGGAAATGGGGCTTTTAGAGACAGTACAAAACTGGGAGGATGATAGCGCTTCAAAGTCACATAGCTGATGTGTGAAGAAATTTTATAAAGTAAACTATGTAGCATAATTATGCCACATATCCACTAGATATTACAAACATGCAGACCTGATTCTCATTTTTATCATCACTGCTTTGGGGAGATATATCACACATGTAGTTCACTGTAGAATGATGAGAAAACCACAAGTAAAAAATCAAGGAAATAATTCTTACCACTTTAAACCTTATCAATATCAACATTTTATATATTCCTTGGAGTGTTTCTTATGCACAGATTTATTAAATGTTAATATTAGTACTTATATATTCTTTTTATTTTCCATTTTAATATTCCAAGGTAGGTATTACACAATAGCAACAAATAAAATATTTTTCAAATGATTATATGATTACGTTTCCTTAAATCCTTGGGTAATAATTGACGTGGTCATTTATGAATTAGGAATTATTTCGAATACAGCAGTATATTGATTCTGCACTCAATGTATTTACACATGAGATCATTGTCTGTAGCTCTGATTGTTTCCTTAAGTTACAGACCCAGGAAGCGTTCTGAAAACAACATATGAACATGTTAAGAAATTCCTACAAATTTTCTTGATTGCTCATCAGGAAAACTGTATTAATCTAAAGCCAAAATAATTACTCTGAATATTATTATTACTCTTTTCTAAGTTTAGGGAGGAAAACGTGAATTTCTGTGATGTTTCCTGGTATTTAAATATTTGTCCATGATTACTATTAGGAAAAATAGATAATTTTTTAACACAGAATCTCATTGTAGCCCAGCTGACCTTGAACTCTTCGTAACTGAGAATGACTGTGAACTGAAATTCAGTCTCCACCTCCTGAGTACTGAGATCATAGGCATGAAGCACCACACATACTTATATGCAGTGCCAGGGATCAAACCCAGGGATGCATGCATGAACTTATCAACTGAGCTGAATCATAGCCCAAATTAAAGAATTTGATGTTCATTCATTTTTAGAATTTTGGGTGACTTGAATATTTGTGCCTTCTATCTTGTGGAAAGAGAAATCTTTTTCTCCTAGTCATTTACATGATCTCATTATAAATCAGATACACAAACACTTTATATTTGTTGAAATACTACAAATATGAATTGTTATACAAATGCTATATTCTTATTTATATATTAAATATATATATTAATCTAAATACAAAGAAATAAGTCAAATCAAGGTGAATAAAGTAGGAATAAAAAAAGCAGAAAAATGCAACCATTAAATTAAGATTAATACTGAAATTAATTTGCTGGTAGTTTTTATATGTATAGGTATGCTTTTTGTATTTTAAAATGAATGTCTTTGTCATTCTGGAGAGCAAGGCAGGGGAAAATTTGATATGTTCCTTTTGTCTTACAGAGTGGTAACACGGCACCAGTAGCTTCTATCTGTCTGTCACAGACAAGGAAAAAAATGTCTTTATTGTTAGATACCGCAAGACCCTTTTTTCTGAAACATTCTGACCTTGCCTCTTTCACTGAAATTAAACAAAAATCTAAAAACACCAAACCCAGAATTTGACACATATCTGATACATGCAACAAAAAAATCTGTCTCCATGAACACTCTAGAGACTTATACCTACATCGATGGCTACAGGAAACTGGACAAGGGTAACTGAGTTTATCCTCATGAGCTTCTCTTCTCTGAAACATTCTGACCTTGCCTCTTTCACTGAAACTAAACAAAAATCTAAAAACACCAAACCCAGAATTTGACACATATCTGATACATGCAACAAAAAAATCTGTCTCCATGAACACTCTAGAGACTTATACCTACATCGATGGCTACAGGAAACTGGACAAGGGTAACTGAGTTTATCCTCATGAGCTTCTCTTCCTTATCCACTGAAATACAGTCACTGCTCTTCCTGGCTTTTCTAACCATATACCTGGTCACCCTGATGGGAAACAGCCTCATCATTCTGGTGACCTTGGCTGACCCCATGCTGCAAAGCCCCATGTACTTCTTCCTTAGGAACTTGTCCTTCTTGGAGATTGGCTTCAACCTGGTCATCATGCCCAAAATGCTGGGAACCCTGCTTGCCCAGGACACAACCATCTCCTTCCTTGGCTGTGCCACTCAGATGTACTTCTTCTTCTTCTTTGGAGTGGCCGAATGTTTCCTTCTGGCAACCATGGCCTATGACCGCTACGTAGCCATCTGCAGCCCCTTGCATTACCCGGTCATCATGAACCAAGAGACACGTGCCAAGCTGGCTGCTGCCTCCTGGTTTCCAGGATTGCCTGTGGCCACTGTGCAGACCACGTGGCTCTTCAGCTTTCCATTCTGTGCCAGCAACAAGGTGAACCACTTCTTCTGTGACAGTCCACCTGTGCTGAGGCTGGTCTGTGCAGACACAGCACGGTTTGAGATCTACGCCATTGTTGGGACCATTCTGGTTGTCATGCTGCCCTGCCTGCTGATCTTGTGTTCCTACACACACATTGCCGCTGCCATCCTCAAGATCCCATCAGCTAAAGGGAAGCATAAAGCCTTCTCCACCTGCTCCTCACATCTCCTTGTTGTCTCTCTCTTCTACGTGTCCTCAAGTCTCACCTACTTTCGACCTAAATCAAATAATTCTCCTGAAAGCAAGAAACTGTTATCATTATCCTACACTGTTGTGACTCCCATGTTGAACCCCATCATTTATAGCCTGAGAAATAATGAGGTGAAGAATGCCCTCATCCGGACCTTTCACAAGGCCCTCAGCCTCAGAAACTGTATCACATAGGCATCCTTTTTCTTTCCGGACATTTCCATTGGAATGAAACCCAGCAGTTGAATGGCTTTGGGAAAGGTCTGTGGAGATAAAAGAACAGAGGTAGTTGAGACCTATCATTGCCATCTACCAAACTTCTCTGCATTCCCATTGTAGAGACACTGTTTTCTTACTTGTACAATCTGCATTTTGATGCTTCAATGGCCATGCATTTCTAGGTATTTACTTTGCTCATGGGCATAAAAATGACAACAGTGTGGGACTGTTTATAATGTGCTCTTGGTGACTTAGATCAGAAAATACAGTAATAAGCATCAAAGGTCCTTTATTTTGCTTTAGATTAGTTTGACTCCAGATCTCAGGAAAGAAACTGCCCTATCCTTCTACTATATGGTTCTGCTTGCACTTTGATTTTATTACACATTCCCCATTGGTAGGCAGTTTGGGACCTTAATCAGAGGAAGGTGCACGACTAATTCACATGCATAGTCATTAGCACCCCAATAGTCATAGTTGATTCATGCCTCTGGCTATTCTGCCCAGATGCCCAGATGGAATAAACCTAGTCTGCAGTTCTTTTGATGCCAATTTCAGGTTCTTAACCCTTATGAAAATAATTTCAAATTTTCACATAATATCTATCATGGTGCTATGTTCTTCAGGCTTTCCATGAATCTTCATAGATGTTAGTATGGATTATTTAACCACCCCTTGTATTGTGTTTAGTGTCTTACATTTTAAATTGTGTGTATTGTCAATGAGAAAACACAAAAGACCATAACAATTGAATAATTTAATCTATATTGAGGAGTTCAGTTGAAATCATTGCTAAGAGTAAATTAGTCTCATGACTGAGGAAGGTTAGATTCAAAGACATGTGTATGTGTGTCTGTGTGTGTGCGTGTGTGTAATTGGATCTAAAATTCTGAAATTTAGGTGTTTGCATATTAGTTCTGTATATTTTCAATGTCATATAATATACAGAAATTAATTCAGATTCAGATAAAAATATTTTACAAAAGTAGAAGGAGAGATACATGAAGGAGTGTGAGTGTATTAGAGAAAGATGCAAAGAGCATACATTCAATACACATTTAAATTGCATTAGCAGAAATACAGCTAGATTCATAAGGATTCCAGAACAAACAGCTTTACACTGTGCCGTATTGAACAGACCACATTTGGAACATCCTCCACTTAAGATGTACATTGATAAACCAGAAAGCAGGAAAATGTATAGAAGGATGGTCACTCTGCTTACAGACCTTAAGACTTTAGGGTTCAAGTGAAGGGATGAACAATGTTATAAGAAAAGAATTCTCACAGAAGAACACTCACAAAATCAAGTCAGGATAATCTATGTTTTAGAAGTCAGAATAGTCATACTCTCAAAATGTAAGAAAACACACTAAATCCTGTCACAGTGTGCCATACTTCAGGACACAGTGGAGGAAAAATGAGTTGTTAAGAACATAATGAGGAAATATGTCCAAGTACAGAGAACATAAGAACCACAGTAGACATCAGAGTTGGGAGATAAGGGTGCAAAGTATATAACTGCACAGCCAATGCCAGATGAATAAAGGCTGGGAAATGGGAATAACAGTGTTTTGTCTCCAACCTTCTAACAAGAGTTCACTCTTGCTGGTCATGGTGGCACACACTTCAATCCCAGCACTTGAGAGGCAGAGGAAAGTGGATCTCTGTGAGACTCACTATGTCTATATAGTAAGTTCCAGGGCAGCTGGGACTACAAGGAAATTCTGTCTCAAATAGACCAAAAACAAACAAGAGCTCACTCTTAATCATCTTGGGTCTTCGTCACCTTGTCGGTAACAATCAAATCAAATGTTTTCTAAAATCAGGAAGTTCCACGAACTTGTAATATAGGTTTTTCATTGTTATTGTTGTTTAATCAATCCTAAGCAAAGCATTCATGAAAGTCCTATTTCTGATTCTCTTGAAAACTGTAATCTTAAAGCAGAAAATCAAACCACATATTTTGCTAATATCTTGTCTTTTGCAAACTTGACATGATTTTGTTCTTTACTTTTTTTTTTACTTTGTATTTAGAGCATGGGTAAATAGTAAATTTCTCTAGTAAAAGAACTAGAGAAAGAATTTATGTTATTACTGACTCCAAACATGTGAATTATTAACAGAAAATGTGGACTTCTTGGTGCTGTTTTCCAAGGTCAGGGGTACAATTGATGGATATAACTAATCAAGGACTATTCTAAATAAGCCGTTACTCTGTAAACATTTTCCTATGTCTAACACTATGGAGGAATAGATTTTTTTTACCAATTCTCTTATTCCTGTAGGAATTGGACCATGTACCTAGGCAAGTTAATGAAAACTGGAACTCTGTGCACAGGGATTAGAAGTCAAACTTTAGGGGGCTGGGAAAATGGCTCAGCGGTTAAGAGTGCCAGCTGCTCTTGCAGAGGACCCGGGTTCAACTCCCAGCACCCACGTGGCAGCTATGAACCATCCTTAATTCCAGTTCCAAGGAAATCCGAAGCCCTAATCTGACCTCTGCGACATTGCATGACACGGGTGCGCTCACATACATGCAGGCAATACACGAAAACACATAAAATAAAAATAATAAAATATTTAAAAAAAAGAAGTGAAACTTTGTTCTAGCCAGAAAGTTACTTCACCCGTTTTCCTCAGTACAAAGCATTGTATATGTGTATACTGACATGTAAAACAACACTCAATGCATCACCTCCTTGAAATAAACACTGAGGTTCCTGGGTCCAACACTGACCTGCCTTGACTTCCTTCCTTTATCCAGTATAAACATGTGGAATGTGCACATAATCTCCCACTACCTTATTTCTCTTTTTAAAAAGCAATGCTCACACAATTCCTTAAATATTTATTGTCACATTTTTTAAATGCTGAAGTAGGAATTCCATAATGAGATTATTTATAGTAATGGTCCAAAAGCACTCATTAGGGTTTGGAGAAAATAAACCTGAAATGTAGAAAAGCATCAAAGTTTTCTTATCCAGAGAAAAATGATGGTAACATTTTACTGTACTTGCCGTAATAATCCCTAACAATTATAGTCATGTTATATGTAAATTTTGTGCTCATTTTGTCACTAATATCATAACTAGAGTTCCACATTATTTATGAGATTTAAATAGTTTTCTCACCTAAAAATGGGGAAAACCATGAAAATTTGCACACAAAACTACAACATTTGATATGGGTAATAAATATAAAGAAAAGTCTTAACCAATTACAAATTATTTTCCATCCTACTATAATTACTTGTAACAACAGTAAACTTGTAACATTTAAGTATTACGTAGAGCATATGAACTTGTTTAACTGTCATGATTCAGTTTTTATGCTTTTTTGTTTTCTATAATTTACTGGTCTTTGGCACACAAGTATACACAATAAAGAGAGATAAGTATTTTTGTACTTTGAGTTTTTTAGATTGAGATAAAATTCAAAATAAAATTAGAGAGGGAAACTCCATGAATACCCAATTTTAATTATTTTTCTTGTACATATACACTTACTGTAAGCCAAGCACCGCAGCTATGAATATTTCCCAAGGATAAAGATGTACAATTTTTGGTGATAACTTAATTTCATAAAGCAAACATAATCAAATAAATGTGTATTTCCTTAATATGAGAGTTTTGAAATATGAAGGAAAAACTGATAGGACTGAAATGGGAAGTGGAGAAGCCCTTAAGTGTAGTGGATGATTACTTCACATGTTTCTCAATAATCAGTCCAGTAAGTAGACAGAAAAACAGCAAGCTTATAAAAGACATGAGCAGAGCTTAACATAAAGGAGCCCAAAATAGCATTAAGAGAAGACACCAGGGGCTGGAGAGAGCTCAGCAGTTAAAAATGCTAGCTGCTCTTGCACAAGTCTGGAACTTAGTTCTATCTTCTGTAGGATGTGGAGAAGGGTATTTAAATGAACAGCATCACACATTTAAAATTAAAAGTTGTGCTGGACATAGTGATACATGCCTGTACTACAACCACTCTCATGGTGGAGGCAGGAAGACTTGAAGTTCAAGGTCATCCTCAGCCACACAATTCAAGAACAATTCAAGGATGGCCTAAACTGCATAAAACTCAGTCTCAAAAACTAAAATTAGCTGAGTGTAGCGGTGCATGCCTTTAATCCGAGCACTTGGGAGGCAGAGGCAGGCAGATCTCTGAGAGTTCAAGGCCAGCCTGGTGGTCTACATAGTTAGTTCCAGGCCAGCTAGAGCTACAGGGAGACCTTGCTCAAAAAAATACCAAAAATACCAAAAAACAAAACAAAACAAAAACCCTAAAATTAAAAGTTTCTTAAATTCCCATGGATGAGTTTATGACCAAACACAAAACAAATGACTATTTTAGAAGCTTTTGTGGGCAGATATTTAAACTAATATCTGTTAACTAGGTTAAGAGGTAGGGAATTGGCACTCTACTATGAACAAAATCACAAAAATACCAAAGAACTCATTGCACTGCCAAAACAATGACAAAAAAAACCTATTTGTGCTGAAATTTTGTGAATTGTGACAAGATTTTTAAAAAAAGCAATTTGATGCATGGGCAGAAATCAGCACAAATAGGAATTCTTACTGATAATGTTAAGTGTTTGGTAGTTTAATCTACATGAAATAAGTAAAGTTTTTAAAAACTTTATTTATTTATTTTTATTTTATGTGTATGAGTGTTACGCCTGCATGTATGCAAGTGCACCCATGTCCTGCAGTGCCTGTGGAGGCCAGAAGAGGGCATCAGATCTCCTAGAACTGGAGTTAGTCTCCATATGGGTGCTGGGAACCAAACCCTAATGTTCTGTAAGAGTAGCCAGTGCTGTTAACCACTGACCCATCTGTCCAGTCCCCATAACTATATTTTAATACAAAATTCACAAGGTTAGTTAAGATAAATTGTGGCAACTGAGGGAGTAGGTATCAAAGACTCCACATATTTCTGACATATGAAGCTTATTTGATGGGTCTCCCTTT